ACAGTCTGCCTCTCTGGAAGCATATCCTTCCTTTATCTAGCAATCTGCTTATTCAAACTGTTCCACTTCATTCGAATCTTAAATGAGATGCAGATTCTGACAGAAGTTCACAGATGATACCCCTTTTATTAGAAATACAGTTCCCACAGATCTAGTCATGTCACCTCCATGGAAGAAGGGCAACGTCACAGTTGTCATTTCTACAGCTCTCTAGCTGGAGCCAGCACCTGACCTGCTAGAAAGGGCAACCTTTGTGTGAAGGTCCGAGGGACAATTTCACAATGGCAGGTGCAAGACAGTCTTGCCTGGCCTTTTACTCACATCCAACAGGCAGCATTTCTGTCCTCCCCCCTAGCTATCTTCTGAAACGTAGATTATTGGAAAAAACCACCAAACAATCAGTGTGGGCTCTAGAGATAAGAGGAGCGTCAGTCTGAAGGCCAGGCTGTGTCGAACAGCCTCCGTAAGTTACGAGATGTTGTCACACAGAAGCAAGCAGTATGTGTGTCAACAGAGAAATGCTTCCAGCACTTACACCGTCAGTAGCAATGCCAAGTTGGGCTGCACGTGCCTCCACTTGGCAACTGCAAGGCACTTGGTAACACATTTGCTTCTCAGGTTGATGGAAATCACAACTCTGAAATTCTAATTTACATTTTTGACCTCCTCCGGTAAGTTCTCCACTCCCTTCCCCATCACTGAGGCTGGACTTGTCAGGTATCTTTTCATATATGCCCCAAGGCAGAGACTGACTGATTCGCCATAAGAAGAGTTAAACGATTGAGCAAAATACTTGCCAAAATAATTTTATTTCCTTTGAGCATTCCAATATTTAATAACATACTTTCTATAACTTTCCAAGACAACCTAGCAGCATCTGGGCACCCAACAATTCTCTGAACTTCACTACATTTTTTTTTATTTTTAAACAACTTTATGAAAAACAGGTTCCCTTCTTGCTCTAAAAGTACAAAATTATTTATGAAGTTGAATTGCTTGGCAACAGAAACAAGCAACATATCTTCCATAAAAAGCAATTTATTTTCTCTGCAGTCTCATTTTGCAGGCAGGGACTATTAGAAGCAGATTCTTATATGGTCAATTGTAGGTCACTGGGATACTTAAGTGCATCTATTTATTATCTCCTCACAGGTTCCACAAACACTTCTCAGAAATAAGGCTGACACAAGACTGGTACAGACTTGTGGTTTTAAGGACGAGTTTACATTGCAAATCAAGTGTTGGCTTTTCAGGGGCTGTACTTGGGGATGATTTTCCTGCTTAGAACAAGTTGGCACTTCTATATACAAAAGGATAGCTGTCTGGAGAGTGTTCAACACAACTATAATCCATGGCCTAAGATTAACCAGGCCAATGCATTAGTAATCACAGAATAATATTCGCTTGTATTGGCATACACCCTCATTCAGGGTATGTATTTATGCAAAATGAAAATACAGAGGTTACTCAGGAGGGCAAGGACGTTTCAATTCAAGCCCTCAGTGCAATACTGCTCTTTTAAATGACTGTCTCCAAAATGTCCTCAAGTATGTAAACAGGAACTGGCTGCAATGGTAACTAATACCTCACTGTTTCTCTGAGGAGGCCACGTTCTACATTTTTCTAACTTTTAAAATTTGTTTTACATTAATTTAAAGGACTATTTTGAAATTAGAAATTATAATCTTTAAAGAACAGTGGGTAATTCCATCTTTATATGGTAATGTTGTTTAAGTAACTTTATTGCTAAAATGTACTTATTTTACTCTGAAGAAGAACACTACGTGCACATGATGTCTGCGTAAGTGACTTAAAAATTCTCAGCCCTTAGAATAATTACCCAACCATCAGCACTAAGGAGAATTTCTGAGCAATGGCAGAAGAGCTGCCGATCACCCTCAGGACACCAGGTAAGCAGCCAACTCCTGGCACTCATAGCAAGCAACACTGTCCAACACCCACTCTCGAGTCACCGTGGCAACACTGTTCTTGTGCTGGATTGCTGTAAGACAGACACAAATGATAAAACTGTTACCAACGAGTCAAAGCAAGCTTAAGGTGAGCTTACTGGTGTCTTTCAGATTAAGCTGTTGGCTTTATCTTTGACATTGTAAAGGCCTTGATAAAACCCAAGAGTCTGAAACCAGTGATGTGGTACTACTACTCCTTTGAGCAATGCAGGTAATATTGCTGCTCCAAAAAAGAAGAGCTGTTTAGCAAATGGTCAGGCAGGATGTTTTGAACGCCACAGAATAAACACTAAAAGCAGAGTGCAGTCCTTGCTCTCTTTTCATTTAGGACCTCAGTGACGGAGTCTCAGTTACCGTTTGCTCAGGCATACTGAGGATGTGGCAAGCAATGAGTCTCATTAAGAGAGAAGCAACAGAAAATTACTGAGGTGCTCCCAGACTGTTCTTCACCATTTCAGGATCTTTTTATTTAATTTCTCATTTTCCCAGTGCCATGGAAACAGCTGGTTTTACATCATCCTCCTGCTCCATTTTTTGTTGAACTCCACTGCAGCCTAACTAGCTCTTGCTCATCCCTTAACTAACTCTCACTGTCTCATTTAAAAGTAAGCCAGTCTGGAACACTTGTGCTTTCAAAGTCTCATAGTTTTGCTGGAGCATTTTGATTAAAAAAAAAAAGGCAGAGCTGTATCAGTTAACACTTTGTAGCTAGCTATTCTTCCAGACCAAGAGAATCTTGTCCCATCTGAGGCTTTCTCCTAGATCTTACTAGTCCTCCAAGGGCACATTTCCCCACCTTTAGAAACTATCTCCAGTCAGAAAAATTTCTGTAAAGCTGATGATATGCAGGACAACTGAGCCAAGAACAGGATTTGCCTGCTAGACTCTATTGCTGATTCTTGAAATAATATATCTTGTCCTTCCAATTTTTCTTTCAAGATACACCTCCACAAGCAGTAGAATGTTATTTTGATTCCTTTACAAAGCACTCTGATACTTAACTGTTAAAAGGACTGAGGTGATAAAGACACTTAATGCGTATCATAAAACAGCCCATGACAGCGTGTCGTTTTACCTCTATAATCTGTGTTTTCCATCCAAGCATCTGGCTGGACAACCACAACAGCAGTAGAATTCTAGGATTTCAATATAAGAAAATAAAAATGCTACTGTTAATCTGTCTGTCATTAAATCACTCACACGTATTTGCAGAGAGCAGTAACTGGGCTAACCCTGTGTCAGTGCATCACTTCAGAGAGGACTTTAAGAAGTGGTAGTAAAGGCAGAAAGACATTAGTTCCTAAGATTTTTCTGCGATTTCTCTCCAGGAACGCTATGACTAAGTCAAAGCACTAAAGGCTTTTTGTGCTGGAAAGTGAGGCTGTGTTGATTTAAGACAGATCAGCTATCTGGCCTACAGGCAGACAGAGCACTGAGCAGTTTTGCACCACAAGTCAGCCTGTCTTCTAAGACAGTGGCCAGAGCCTCGAACACAAGAACTGCTGCCGTGCAGTTTGGAATCATTGCTGGGCAGGCAGCTCTGTGACACCCCCGTGTGCAGCAGCCTTTGACAAGCCCACGTGACGTTTCAGCACGTTGTGTACTACACAACTACAGACCATTCACCATGTCAAGCCTATCATTCACTAGCACTTACTGTTTTGTGTGTGAACAGATGAAGTTGCTTCACTACAGAGGCACCACAAAGCTCCACCATCCATTCTAGATGTTCTGAAGAAATCAGATAAACAGACTATTACTTCAATGTTTTATATCACACTGAAACTGATACTATTCCCTAAGCCCTCATGTGTTTGTTCCAAGATATAAACTATCATCATTTGAAAGAAACGTAAGCCAAGTCCTTTCACTTTCTAGCCTGCTGAGGAACATTAACTCACTCTTCCTTCACTCTCTAGTCAGGACTAAACAAAACAGAAAAACCCTGAAAACGCAAAACACTGCATGCCCAAAACCTAAAGAGAAAGTCACTGACAATTTATTTACTCTTATCATAAGGACGTAAGACATGAAATTAAAACTAAAAAATCAGAAGTTAGAACTGTGATTCTCTCTCATTAACAAAAGTAAACAAAGTATTTAATTTCCACCAATTTATTGAATTGATAGTGAAGATAAGTCTCTCAAGTGTAAGAGCCATAATTAATGATCATGGCAGCAGGTGAAAGTACTGCATCCTCTGTAATTACTGTAAATGTCAAGAGATGTGAAGATATTTCACCCAGTCAAAAATAAAGTTATATTGGACAAATCGGAAAGTACTGGCTGAATATGCCACAAAAATGGGAAGAGAGGTACAAATATGGTAAGTAGAAAATTTCTAGCTTAAATTTTCGAAACATCTACCATACTTTTTTCAATTCCAAACTAACAAAAAGAAGCTATTGTGCCCAACTTTTCCTTAGCATATAAACATCTGGCTTTGTTGTGTGTTTCACTTCTAACATCTGCTGTTAGGGAGATTACACTGAGAATGTGTCAACTGCTAGAAAAACACCACTTAGGAACTGTTTACTAAGAAGGAAAAGTGCTCAAATACAAGCCTTCACTAGCATCTAAAGCAATTCCCAGGCAGCATGATATTAATGCTCTTCCTTCATTGCTACAGAATCGGAGACAAACTAGATAAAAGGCCTGTTTAGAGACACAGCAAAATTGCCAGAGTAGTTCTCCGAGGACATCCAAACAGACAAGAACACTGTATCTGGAGATAGAACTGGATAAAGTTCTTTACCTCACTATACCACGTGTAGGGATTTTGAAAGTTTCAGATCAAGAGAGGTATAAAATCATCCAAGAAGAGGTAAAAGGTAAAACTCTGGTGAATGCACATGATCCCCTGCAAATTTTTTTTATGCTAAGAGTTGATTTAATTCCACTAAAATGACATACCTGTAGTCATATCAGTGAAAGGTCCATAGCAACAGATCTCGAAGTCTTTAAAAATCTGAAAACCAAGGAAGATGTTAACAGAGCACATATGGTATCTTTAAAGGACAACACTTACTTTGCTGGTTTCATCGCACTTCTAGGACTGGTTATCAAGCTATCGCTGTTTCACAAAGTATATCTGAAGCTCTTTGTAACTTAAAAATTAAAAGAATATAACAAAAAACCCCAACCCTATGCTGTCCTATACCAATGTTACAAAAAGATAACATTCACTCTAAGCATAGCGAGTCGCTCGAGTGTATCTGCTCTGCTGCTGACAGAGCTCACCTTTCGGGTATAAAAATGCTTAATTTGTACAACTCTGCATATACAGAACAGCAGAGAAATTGGAAGAAGTTCCAGATATTCAGTTGGCACAGCCACATATCTGAAACAGTCACAGCAGGACAGGATTTTCATCCCTGATGTGCTTATACCTTTTCAGTCAGAGACTGTCTAGCCCTCTTAGGACCTTGGTGGTTTCTCCCATTGATTACATCTCCTCTAACTTCAAAGTTCTCCTGGAACACAACATAAACAAGCAATCAGAATTTAGAGACTGAGAACACTATCCTGGTCTGAGTTCTGCATCACAACAGGAAGAAGTTGTCAGATTTCAGAACCGGAAACCTTACAATTAAGCATGTGCAGAAAATTAGTTAAAAGGCTTTTCGAGAAAAATGCAGAGCAGTAACGAAACCCCTGCAACATCAGATAATTTTTAAAGAAACAAATTATAGTAAACCGTAAAGTAGCCTAGCAAATTGTATAAAAGAAAGAGCACACTCCAAGACTACAAGTAAGTTATCAGTAAAGACTCATTTGATAGAAATTAATTATCAGTACATAGAATGGTTAGGGTTGGAAAGGAACTCAAAGATCATCTAGTAATCCAGTACATACCCTCTAGACCTTCAACATCTATTTTATTTCAAGGCATTCACTTAGTATATAGATTAAAAACAAACACAGTGCTGCATTCGATAATTTCAGGCCTACATCTGACTCAAGCTCCCATTTCTCCAACACTTTCTTGAAACATCTCCAAAACTTCAATACAGTGTAACCTGCTACAGGAGTATGAAGAATAGTTGCATATTTTCAGTTTACTTGGAAAAAAAATAGTTTTTATTATAACTGAAGGCTCTTCTCCTTGCTTAAAGCAATGTGAGAGCGTATGACAATGTTAACAGCTGTCATCCCATGTTCCAGTATTCCCAGTCAAGACTGTAGCAACTTCCCCCTTTCACCCCAAGCACAGAAGGGCCTTTAATACCCCTTCCTAGGGCCTTTTTGGGGCTAAGATTTTTCTTCTTCGCCCTTGGCTTGACAAAAGGTCATATAGATTTCATACCAGAAAGCAGGTATTTCTTCTTATTAAATATAAGAAATCCATATTGTGTCACTAATATGACATTCTCCAAAAATCTGTACTAGAGAATGAAAATCCAAATACCACCCAGGAATACAGAAATCCACCTAAATCACGGTCATATCAAATAAGCAATTTCTACTAGAAAAGGTAGTAAATGCTGGAATCAGTTTTCAGTAGTTGGCTATTCTAAAGTTTAAAACCAAAACAAACCAAAACAATGTATATAGCTACATTCCAACATTATTTCCTTAAGCAAACAATACATTTTTTTCCTCTATGCTGTAATCCATCAATATCAGTAGGAACACTTATAAAAAAATATTCCTACAACATGTTCTAAAAAGTAATAGGGATCCATTATGTCTTCAAGAACAATGAATACATATAACCTAAGCGTGGCTTTTGGTCCCAGCATTTGGTAAAACTAGAGTCCCAGTTTTCAAAGGCAAATTTCCATATATTAAACATTTAGACAATATCTGACTAATAAGTCTATCAATGTAACAGCATTACTTACACATTTGGCATTTCACCTACCTCATCCAGTATCCTTCCTTCTCTGAAAGACTGAATTACCCCTAGATAAAAAGATCAGAACAGGACAAGTAATTTTATCGAGCAAAATTGTTCTTCCACTTCCAAGAGTCTGACTTCACTGCTATATTACATTGAAGGTATTTGTACTAAGGGAAACTGATGCAGGATGATGCCTGAAAGAACTTGAAGAACTTTACCTTTTATAAATAATACTAATTTTGCACTAACTGATGCCATGCATCTCAAAGATTTCAATTAAGAAGGAGGAAAAGTTTTTGTCTGGGTGAGGAGCAATCCAATGTGGTTATCTGAAAGCAGGAAAAGTATTCAGAAGAGAAAGAAGCTTGATGTTGCTGTTTGAGGTTTATTTTTATTTAATTATTATCTATTTTAAAGTATTTAGAAGAAACTCTGCAAAACATCAGATGTCAAGACATGAAAAGATCAGTTTTGGTTGGTTTTGGTTTTTTTTACTGGAACAAGTGCAGAGTACATTTGTGGTAGAAGGGCAGAGACTATTTAGCTCCGAAACAAGTTATACTTACACTGATAACTAACTACCCATTTTCTTCCTGCAATACCCAGGAAGTACTTCAGTGTCCGTTCACAGACCAGGTCCTTATCTGCAAAGCAAACACAAATAAGATCTCTTTCAGTTTTGTCATTAGTAAAAAAACAGCTTGGGTTATTTGTATCTAAAAGTAAAAGGTTTTTTGCTAAGTGCAGCAGCAAAATATCAAGACCATCTATAGAAAGGTTCCAAAATTCTAGTGTCCTGATTCTATTAAACTGAAGGAAATGATCAGAAACTAATCACATGTACAAATTCTGAACCCTTTTTTAGTTACTCAGTAAAGAGGCCAGAAAAAGCATGACTACTAGTCAAGACAGAGGACACTAACAGTAGGATTCAGTGACTAAACTTTTAGATGACTAGCTATTTGAGATCATCTTCTACTCTACCAGAACAGGCACAGCTTCAGAAGGCAGTTTATCCTATTTGTATTTGTATGAAGACAGAATAATCTACCTCTCCAAGAACATACGGTCACGGTGTCTATGACACGCTTTCTGGAGAGAAAGGCAAAAATTGAGTCCATAGATTTGGAGTAACAGGATTTTCTGGCTCCTTTTCTATGTTGGTTTTCAAGAGCCAGAGAGGCTTATGTGACTGTATCCAAATATGAGCCAGCCAGAAGTGCTTCTACAAAGCAAAATGCAAGCACAGTGTATAGCTTACCCAGACCCAGATTTGGCTGAAAATATTTTGCTTTTTAAGAAAATGTTGGTTAAAAGCTAGATGGTAGGTTCAGTAGGGAGCTTAAATACACCTAGACACAGCAATAGAGTAACTTAATTTTACTGATGAATGCTATGCTTTTCTGAAACCAATATAATACTATCTGTTTCAGAACACATTTGTCAAATTTGAAACTGTAGCATTGTACTGAGGTTGCTATAGAGTTCCTTCAAGCTTTTAATAATGAGATTCTCGAGCTCTACCAAGGAGCAAAACCTCACTTAAGTACCTTAATTAAGCATGCAAATAATAGTTATGATGAAGCAGCATACCTTCACTATCAACTACCATCAGTTATAGTCCCACTGACAGTTTTCTATACAAGATAAGTTTATTTCAAAAATGTGGAAGGAAAGAGCATTTATAATCCCTGCAAGGAATTCGGAAACCAAAATAGCATCTTATTTCCAGAATGTCTGTATCCCATTTCTTTAGGAACTATCTCGCTTTCTTTTTGGTTGGTTCTGAACTACTTTATGTTAATGTACTATATACGCCTTAAAAACTGTGACCAAACAGCTGGATTAAAAAAATAAGTAACATTAACTTTAAATCACACAGGGAAACAAAATATACCTTTACTTTGATTCTGTGAAATCAAATAAGAAGGACTTCCAAGTTTAAACAAAAAAATTATGATAGAGAAGAAAAACCTAATACCTTCTTCTCAAACTTCCTGAAATTTATTGAAGTATCTGCTTGCTGGTTAGTCTAGAGTTGAAATTCTATATGGTGTGCAAATATAGGATTTGTTCACATAGCTCTCAACAAACCTGTTTTCATTATGACGTGGGTTGTTCCTTCAGTAATGTGATTAGATAAAGTGCTCTGAGTTTTTCTTGCAAACTTCTGGATCACCAACTGAAAAGTAGTGAAGAAAATTAATAGCTAGCAAAACAGATTAAAAACCCCAACAGCTCCAGTTTATAGGAGTATCACATAATAAGACAGTTACTTTAAAGTAATGGTTTTATTTGTGTTAGCATACAGAATATACATTTCCTTAAAAGTCAATAATTTTAGCACCATTCGACAGGCTAAAGAAGAGCTCTTGGTCAGTAGTTTATAAACCAAAAGCCATATCCTCTACGAAATAGATCACACACAGAGGTTTACTAGCAATTCAGAATTGATTAATTACAGAAATCCTCACTAGGGATCAGAATCTGAGCAGCATCTGAGAACATTAAGGAAACCAACCAACCAAACAGCCCCGCCCCCTCCCCTCCAAGCCCCAAGGCTTTTCTAGAAATCAAGTCCTCTTGCTTTGGAATAATGAATTTTCCCCCTAGACAGTAGGTGGTCATTTAAAAACTTCAAAGTTCACTAAGTCTAATAGTGCTGTTTACAGTCAGCATTCTTCACATTTTTAGGAGTGAAAAAGTTTGACTTGGGTTGCTGTATTACTGATCTGCAAATCCTGCAAGATCAGTTTCCATTATACTTAGATGTCTCTACGTTGAAGACTGTAGTGGCAATCAGGAACGATTAACAAGTGATCTCTGAAACTTCTGAAACATACTTACATGTTCACTTTGATTCAGACCTGATGCAACAATTGACATTTCTTTCCTTTTAGTCCCAACAGGACTTGTAGCATTTTCTTTCCCAGCTGCACTGTGCAGAACAGATAGAGGAAAAGACCCACTTCTCTCCGATTTACATTCTTCAGCACAGCTTTTCTTAGCGTTCTGAGCTACAACAGAGCTATTTGTTGCTTCTGCAGTTTCAGGGTTAAGAAGCCTTAAAGATGAGGAAGAATTATTTGGATTCCTGGTCACATTTCCAGAGAGATTTGATAAGACAGATGCACCATTTAGCCTGGTCCCAGATTTCTGCTCATCTGCATTTTCTGAAGGAAAAGAGAAATTACTCCTCAAAACAGTTTCATCCTTCTCACAGTCATGGTAGAAGGCTGTTGCGCTACCTTTGAAGTTTAAATGCTGCAGTCACTTCCTCTCCTTATTTGTTTATTACTTCATCTTTGCCTCTATCATTACTTTTTCCTGATCTATAGCTGAGACACTAGAATACTTGTGACACTTTTAGTGGCATATCTGTTAAGTATCAATCTATATGTGAGAAAGATAACTCCCATTATTGCCAAAATGTCCAACTCTATCCTGATGGGCAGCTACACAGTTGGGCTACCAAACAAAACCAACCAAACAAGAAGTAACATCTTTTTAAATTGACCAGGAATATATAAGTTTAAATCCTTGATTTAGAAGAAAGTTCTATCTTGCTGGTATGTAAAAACATGAAAAAAAGCAGAAATCAAAATGTGTTGAATGCTTCTTAAATGTTACCTGCTTCAAGCTGACACTGACCATGTCCTCGCACTGCTTCCTGCACAGGTTTTGTCTTCTCAGAAGGAGCTTTGTTCTTCAGAACACTGTCACTCTGAGAGCCTTTCTCCAAATCTGGTCTCTTTAACAAACAGGATTTAGAAGACGGAAGTAACGGTTCTGGAGACCTTGAGAGAGTGAAATTGGTTTTAATACCTTTTTTACTCTTCATCAGAACCATGTAGCAACAGCTAAGCTATTGTAATTGCTCAAAAGCTGAGATATTTATTTCAAGACTTTATTTTGCTTCTTTTTTTTCTAATACAAGATTAGAAATAAAAGTAAAATAAACCAAACCAAAACCATTTACCTTTCTTTTTCTAACTCTTTGATTTTACTGTTGAGAGAATCACTTGGCATAACGTGGAGATCATTGGCTGAAAATCCCTTTGAACTGCTGCATTCATGATTTTCAAAATTTCCTTCCGAGGTTGACTCTGCCTCTTTAAAAAGGAAAATAATTCTTAAATAAGCAAAATAAAAGCACCTGTTCTTAATTGTTTCTTTAGGGAAGAGGTCATTTCTCTAAAATCTCAATCCAGATACACTTCAGAGAGGCAAGTGTTCCACGCCAGAAACCTACACAAAATGCAAAGCCATTTGAGCACGGCTAACAGCTACATTGTATTTCACATATTAAATCATCTACAAAACTAAGATGTCACCTATGCATTAGGTGGAAAAAGTAGGATATCAAATATCCCAAAGGCAAATTTACACTCTTCAGTGCAGTTTGTTTATTACTCCTCTCAACACATTACTATATCTCTGTTTGCAAGCAGTAGAGGCATTTATTTCCTGATTCAGACTACAGTCTGACAACACACATGCAGGAGACCTATTGGCGTAGCTGCACCACATCGGCTGACAATTTCACTTTTTTATATATATATTTTTTTTTTTAAGATGGAAGTTAACCTCAAGGTCTCAAGCCTCACACTGTACAACGCCGTCATTCAGGAGAACAAAAGCAATGTACAGATCATTTTGTGATATTTGACTAGCACTCACAGCAGTGATGAAAGACTTTGTATTTAGATAGAAAAGACCCCACAGTGAAAATTATACACGGTAAAGGCATGATAAGACACTAAATAACTTTGAATTCCAGGATGTTAAGCCTTCGGCGATTACTGAGCTATTCTCCACCGTTTATTTACTGCCCTGTGCACTTTCCAACCAGGAACTCGGTGTTCATGTCCTGTTCAGGGGCCTTACACACCACTATAGACACTCTCCTCCTCCTCCTCCTCGCCCATCAGCAGCCTGACCTGCACTGCATCACTCCTGACAGCCCATACACCCCTAACCTGCCTTCTGCCTTCCTCCTTGATACGCTGAAGCACAACTCCTACTACAGCAACAGAGGCCAAGTCCTCTTGGGTGCTCGGCCCCTCTCCCAGTCCCTTACCCGTGCCAGGGAAGGGAAACAAGAGCACAACTGGGACTGACAGAACAGCAACACGGATTAGTGCTCCCGAGCCGCAAGGCCTACTCGCCCCATTTGTACAATTACCCCACAGATCTGGGATTTTTAAAGTGCAGTACCAGTTATAAATAAAACATATACGTCTCACAGAACAGTTGATTTAGATAAAGTTGATACATGAGCAGAATTTTAAATTAACACTACAATTTGTAGTAGAAGGGAAAAAAGAACTAGTAATAGTCACACGACTGTTTGTAAGAAAGCTGGGAAAGTTTTTCATTGCATTTACCTCTTCCTTGTCTCATTTGTTCCATTCCAAGTGTTCCTTCACTACTGGAATGTGGCAGTTTCCCATGGATTGGTAAAAATTCACAGTCCTGACTTCCATGCTGCTTTAGCACTGCTTCAAGTACAGCCATTTCTTGCTGAAGTTTTTTTAGGTTATTTTGCATAGCATTCTTCTGCTGCAAAGGATACACAATTGTGCCAACGTTAGCAAACTCAGTTGGAGACTGTAAGATTAATTTCTTTAACAAATGCTTGAAAATCAGGAAGAGCAAAATTATTTTGAATTAGTTTTTACCATGTGTTCAGATGGTGACTGTGGTGCTTTTATTGCAACAAATAATGCACACACGCTATGTCAAAAGCAGAAAAAAAATCCGTAACAACTGCCCAGTAATTTGGCTATTCAAATTATTTCAGTTTAGACAGCTCAGAGTTTAATCAGTCAGGAAAGGAAAAAAAAAATGTCTGCACAAACATCTTTATTTTGCCCCAAATGCATTAGTTTGCACTAGTCACTTAATATTTAATAATGAGCATCAAGTATTGAGTCTTTGCACTTTCCACCATTACTGAAAGCCCCAAAGACTGTTTAAAAGGAATAAAATATTTCATCCTACTCTTTCTTACTTTTTCTCTCAAAAAACAATACCCTCTATTAAAAACATGGCTTATAACCTCCTTGTAAGAAGACCTCAGGGCTTCAAAGAGTCCTTCTAAAAACCTAGAATTTTCACCATGCGGGATAAAAACTGCCCACCGGTCCATACTGCCACTATTCCATTCGACTCAGGCATATCCTAGAATCTCTATCAAAGAAGTTACATCAGGGAGCAACGTCCTGTCAGTTGACCACATTTTGCATTGATGCAGTAAAGAGAAGAACCACCCATACAGCACAAAATGAAATTCAGTCCTCTTTGACATAGGGCTTTTAATGCTGAAAAGAGAGATTTGGTGTAAGACTTACCTTGAAGTTACAGAGGACAAAATCCTAAAAAAAAGAAACTAACAAAAACCCCACCAAACAAAACAAACCCCCAAAAAACCAAAACACCCAACAAAAAACCCTCAAACCAATCACTCACTATATAAAGTCAGGTCATTAAGCAGTAATCAGAAAATTAACAGCAGAGAAAGCATACACCTTTCATGGGACACTGCCTGTTGGGTCTTATGTCTATATTCTAATATGGAATAATTTGGTTTAATCTTTGCCCTTAGAAGGCAAGTCTCCATGCTCCTAAATGTCACAATGTAGCAAATCCAGTCCTTATCACTAATCATATGATTCCTAACACTGAAGCCTTTACTACAGGAAGCTGAGGTTTCCAGCACTGGTCAAGTGCGGGGATTCATTAACCAGCATCGCCACAATCAAGCGTTGCAATCGATGCCACGGAACAAGTTATGGCCACTGAAATGTCACGTTGCCATGGGAGGCAAAGTTGGACAAACAACGGCATAGAAGCAGTTCTACAATTCTTCATTCATTACGCTCTTGGAAGCGATCTAGTGACACACAGAACTATGATGAAAGCAGCTCCCCACTACACCGACTTCACAGCTTTCAGGTACTTGCTTATATCCTAGAACACAAACTACTTGTAGAATTTGGTGCATAAACTCACTTACCTGTGTAGTAAGGATTTCACCCTGAGAGAAGGCTCCACATGAATCCTCTACATTACTTGTTTCACTGTCATATTCAGATGCTTCACCTTGAGGAAGGTGGAAGAAAATCTGAGTTAGTTAAAGAAATAAAAACCTCATCATTATCCGTAACCTCTTACCACACAGACCTTTTAGACAACCGTTAACTATAACCATAAAGTGACAAGTTTTGAAAACACTTAAGTTAGAAGCACAGATCTACTTTCAGTGAACATTTTGAAGAACACTGTCACACATATGGCAAAGCAAATAGAACTTGAAGTGTTTCAATAGTGATGAAAGAGTCCTAAATATTTATGAAAGCCACAAAAAGGTCAAAATAAGCACTATAGAATTCTACAGCCAATTTCAACAAACATTTCATCTGGGTAAAGGGCTCAAGTGGGCTTTATGAAGTTTTGCTGGTAGATGTAAATATCATACTGCAAGAAAGCTAGGATTTCACTCAAAAATTAATTCCCAGAGAGACTCAGTCCAGCCTCTAGTGCCCAGTCTACTCAGTTTTGCTCTGAACAAAGAATACCGCGAGAACTTAATTTTTAGGAAATAAACCACTGAAGGTTTCTTGTTTGATTGTTTAGGGCTGATGCGTTCCTTTAAAAGAGCAAGCACCACATAAATACAGAACAAAGTTCCCATGCAAACACCAAGAACCTAGGTGCAATGACATTACAAACACAGCTGCAGAGATAAAAATCTTGGTTTGTACCTAGGTTTGCTCCCATGTTTGGGTCTTCTTGGCATTCATCTTTGAAGTTAGTTCTGCTTCTCTCCAGCCCTTCATTACAACTTTGAAAAGTTTCTTTACTCTCAATCACATTGCTCACTTGTTTGGATGTATGAACTTGAATTAAAGGTTTATTCAGCTCTTGTGCTCCAGCAACTGATTCTTCAGACATGTGGGACTGGGAAGAAAACAAGTTGACGGAGAATTCTGACTCCTGGCTTGGTGAAACACACTCATTACTTAGGGCAGCTTCAGACATTTTCTGCATATTATTGTCGTCATGACTGCCACTGTGAGGCAATGTGATGGGACTTACGGAAGACTCTACCACAGAAGTCACTTGCTTATGGATCTGCAAAGGTGTGCTTACTGATTTGCCAAATATCAATGTCTGAAAACACGGTAAATCTTCATCCTCACTAGATTCTTCATCTGAAGATTGCAGTTTCTGTGCTCTTCTTCGAGATCTTTGAAAACCTTGAGATCTTGGCTTAGAACATACATTTCTATTGTGTATTTCTTTCACCGGGGCATTGTCACTTCGTTTTACAAACACAGCAGATCTCTCTCTCCTATCAGTTTCAGAAAAGCTATTGTTCTCTTCAATATCATCATCAGAGCACAGTAAGCCATCAGGGGTTTCAGACAAACCTGTAAAGTCACTGTTGCCTTTAAGAGGTTCTTCTTGAGCCTCTGTAACTAAACACTCAGGCATCCCTGTGCTAGCAGTTTGGGTCGCTTGTCCTTCATTCCCCTTCACTTGTTTTCTTTTGTTACATTTTTTCCCAATGACATCACAGCTGAATTCAGCAGGCCTTTGCTGACAAGCTGCACGACAAATCATTGATCTGGACTGAAAATGTAATATTGGTCCTTTGCTGTCAACAACTTTGGCCTTTCCTACTTGATTGCTTTCTGAACTGAAGCATATTTCATCAACTGTGTTTAAATCAGTTCTTTTGAAAATGTGCTCTTCTGTATGACTCTGATCACTTTGGCTTCTACTACTTTTGATTGGATTCTGTCTCAACTTGCTTGCTATCCCCCCTATGTCATCAGTTGACAGTGTCTTTTCGTTTCCCTGCTCTCCTTTTTGTGATCTGTTTTTGTCTTCTGTCCTAGCAGTACCCATTCTTATTGGTGTCAGATTCCCCTGATTTGCAACGTGTGGAATATCTTCTGGGTGTTCCCCTGTACGCACACATTCGGTGTTGCCAACAAGGCAAGTCACAGGACTAACACAAGCAGACTCATAGCTCTTACGCTTCTCTTTCTCGCAAACCCGACTCAAGCTTTCAGCAGTTGTTTTCTCTTCTTGCAAGTCTTCTGTTTTTAAATACCTGCTATGCTTATTCTCTACCTGATCAGCACACGGTATCTTTAAAGCTTCAGAAGCAGCATCTTCTACTGCACATGCCTTCATGGGAGTAGGATAAAGGCTAAATGACAGGCGTTTTGAATGCCTAAATATATTTCGCAGATACTGTGTGTCTAACTCACTGTCTTCAGCTTCCTTAGTCAATTCCGAAACATTTTTAGCTGCTGGCAACTTTTCAGTTCTGAAGTCCCCTGGAACATTTTGTGTATCACGTCCACTATCCTGGGGAAAAGTAGTACATGATTCAATCACCTCTTCAGTTGGGTGGGAAGCTATTTGCACAACAGTCATTGAAGGAGACTGTCGGAGGAAAGGGCTACCTGGTATTTCACCTTCTTGAGCACCTGCATCAGGTGCAAAGGAAAGACAATTTGAATGCTGACATGAAGAAGTAGGATTGAAGAGACTTCCAGTTTCTGCAGCATGAGCTGAATTCTTTAGACTAATCTGCATTTCGTTTGCTTCTAGATCACCACCCTTCAGATTAGTGAGTGGCTCGTAAGTCAACACACTGTGGGACTCACACAGGTCTTCGCGTTCAGAAGCGTGAACTAGCAGATTCCTTTGGACTCCAGAGACAGACCCTTCATGATCACTGCCATACTTTCTTGCTCCTTTAGTTACTACTCCTTTTCCTGTTTGTTTTGTCATTTCAGAAAGTAGCTGAAGGCGTCTGCTGCGCCTGACTTGTCTTTGCTCAGAATCAACTTTCCTTGGTTCTTCGCTGCTTGGATAGCTATCGATCTGTGGCTCAGCTGGATCAGGGGAAACAGAGTTTCTGTCTACCACTAACTGTAGAGCACACATGGTTCTAGTAGAATGCCTGCATCTTTTTGCTGCAGAACTTTTTTTAGTGCTTTTCTGGTCACAGTTGTTCAGTTCTAGCTCCCCATCACAGGGCTTGTCAGAGAGGTGACTCTCATTAACAGCAGAACTTTCATCAAATCTTTTTTTTTCAGCTTCTCCAAGGCACCAGTTAACACTTTGAGGGCACCCATCTGCCTCCTCTGTATCTTTTTTCTTGATGAAATCCTCAGGTTGCAGCACATGGGCAGCCTTCCTTTTTCGTTTTAGTCCATCTTTGCTGGAATTATTCAAGCACTTGTCATCAACAGCTACATCTTCCCTTTTTGTAATAGGTAAAATTTCTCTCAAGGTATTAGAGAAATTTGACTTCCTCTCTCTCTTGTATGTTTTCCCAAATATTTTGTCTTTAATGCTATCTGCTGTTTGTTTTAATCTTCTCTTGTTTCCTTCAACCACTGCAATTTCCATGGAATCTACCATAGGGTCAGTTTTTTCTGAAATACAGGAATCTTTATCTGATAAACATGTATCTCCTTCACTTGAAACATCAGTTGCTCCAGTAGAATCATGCTGGGAAGAATTGGAAGACAGAATCTCATTGCTTTTTGAAAACCATTCATTGACTTTCTGAATGCTTCGCTTCAGTCTCTTCCTAGAGACTTGATTCAGGGTAGCACAGTGAAGTGTCTCTGGCTGAAGTAGTTCCTCCAGAGGAAGTTCTTTTTCATGGAAAGAATCATTCTCGGGTTCATACATTTCCGCAGCTTCCACACTTTGTACAAAAATATCTATTTCCTTGCTTTTATCCAACCTGCTCTCTAAGCTATCTTTTAAGTCAAACTCTTTGCTTTTACTATTGCACTGAGTTCCATTCCTTAAGGGACTGGCATTACCTATTCTGTCACATTGCTCTGTGAGTAGGTCTGCAGCAAGAACATTTAAAGGAGAACTCTGGTATTCAGTCATATTCACTTGCCCAGGTTTGGCACTTTCAGTGATGCTCTGAGTGCTTTTCTTGCTCAAGTCTTCCTTCAAGAAATCACTTTCACCTGAAGATTTACAGGTATTATAAATTATTAAGCTCTACTTAAAACACACAAGAACAATAACAAGCTTAATGGCTACTTTGTTTTAAAAGAACTGCTCTTATCTCCTCCCAAAACACAATATTACACTGCACAAATCTCGCTCTAGAGAAAGGGAGAAAGATCAAATTACATGAGACATATGCTCATCCAACTTCTTACATGAATTACCAGGCAGTGGGCTTAGCTTATACTACAAGGGATAGTAGGGCTTACATGGAATAGAATAACTTTTGCCATTTGCTCAAGTTACTTTTTTTGCCTTCTGTTCCTGTGCACAAAACATCCACGTTTTAAGTATCTAGTCTACAGGTATAGTCTTGTATTACACAGTCACTTGCTGTTGGCATCAACAAAATACAATATACAAGACTGCAAGTACATATATTTAGTCATGTGAAATCAAAATGTTAACTTGTGCTCTGTCTTTCAAGCTCTACCATTTTTGTCACCGAAATAACAAACACACCTATGACACTTGGTAGAATTACTTCTTTAGTACTCAGCTTGTCAGGCTGTGTATTGCAAGAATATTCAGTCCCCTTCTCAGCATTCTTAAGTTCTTCTAGCTTTTCTTGAGATGAAATCTGAAGCTCTTCTTTGCCTTTTAATCTGTTGGGAAGGGAAAACTACTTTCATTACAGAGGAAACCACAACAGACATAATAGATGATACTTAATTTTCCCTTTTTGCTCTCTGCTCTCTATTGTTTTTGGAGAAGTCAGGTTGCATGGTAGACACTCACCACAAGCAGATCCCTTCAGAGTTTCAGGCCATTTCTTTAAAAGATCCCCTCCCACATTCCTGAATTTAACATTCACTTTCTAAAGCATAGTACATGCTTTTCTCTTGAAGATCTAATGTCTGTGTAAGCAACAAAATGTTTAGAAAACAGCTTTAAGCATATTATATAACAAACTCTCATATAAATGAGAGTCAGCTATCCATTCTACCCCGATGCCATCAAAGTTGAAAATCACTCGTCAGCTTGGAGAATTCTATCAGTTCTGTGCTAAGAAACTAAAACATGCGAATAAGAACACTGAACTATTGTCTTTAGAAAACACGAAATCCTTAATCATCTTTACTTACCCAGCATTGCTTGCCTGTTTAAAAAGCTCTTCAGATGAATCAGAGCCTAAAAAAAACCAGCTGTTACTCTGGTTGAAACGACTCAGAGAAAGATGACTTGCCAGATTCAGTGCTTATTACCACAGAGGCATGCGTGCTCAGTTCTTTCTCGAGGTAGATGCTTTCAACTTGTATCAGATGAATTCAAGTTCAATTGTGCAGTATTTTACCTAATTATAATGATTTCTGTGCATAAATATCTACATTGCTCCAGCATAAAATTATGTTTAAATACAGTGACTGGTAACAGAGAGCTACTAAGAGTTAATTAGCTAAGAGTCAGTTTCTAATTTCTAAATTTATACATGAAACAGCTGCTAGTATTTAGAATTTTGAACTGGAAGTCAGAGCAATATATTTGGATATCTGTCTCAGATCCTTTGATTGATCTTGGCAGAAGCAATAAAGAAAAAAGAGGCAATAAACACTATCTGTTAAAAGGAGCAATTCCTTCCTTGAAGGAATAGAGGGAAAATAAACTATGCACAGCACCCATCTTGTTTCTTGCAGCAGTCAGCACGAGATAAAAAGGAAGTTCTGAAAAGCTAGGATAGACAAATGAAACATTCTTTTCCCGATTAGATTTCATTCTTATCTCTGGTTATTAACTCAAGCCTCAGACACTGATGACAAGGCTTAATGTTCTTTAGAAAACAGTAGTTATCATCAATTATAACAACTATAACTTTTTTCACATCTGTAAGCATCTTTTCTTCTTTGGATCTTGTACACCAACCCATAAATGTTTACTACAGAAGCAGTTTTTTCCTACAATATAATAAATTACATTAAAAAGCCTTTGATTTACCAACTTTGAATTGTTCATCATTTGTCCCTTTGTTCTCATTCTGAGTGTTAAGGAGAAATAAGTGTTTATAAAGACTTTGAACTTCATCACTTTCACTACTTTGCAAGCACTATACATAAACTCAAGTAGTGTGGATCTACAACAGATCTTACCAAACTCAATATAAATCCCTTTTTTGGAGTCGCATTTCTGGGTTTTGTTTCTTAGGGGACACCTTTTGACCCTGGTATCT